CAGGGAGCACCAAATGGCTCAGCTGTATTCTAGCTAGCATTTTTTTTGTTGTTGTTGTTTTATGGTTTGGGACTCTAAATATAGATCATTTTAATAAAATCAGTTTAATATATGGATAAAAAAAGCAAATACAAATGAGAGCATTATCTAACTATCGGGGGTAATCCCTAATCGTTATAAATTAGCTGTTCTCTTTCACAACTCTGCTCAGTTATCAGGTTTGTTCTCTATATTTTACCTGTTACAGTCCACATTTGTTTGACTCTCAGTACAAAAATATCCACACACCATTTCTTTGAAATACTTTTATTTTTGTGTGGAGAAGTATAGATGATTAGGTTATATCAATGTAGAGGTTTGAAAGTAGATATTTTGTGCAAATTATGCCAGTTGATGCTGAGAGAGGGCAAAAAGACACGTTTTTATTCAGTAGTTGGTAAATGGTAGGTCTCATCTACATCACTAAATAAGCTGAGACTGTGTTTGGGGTTATCTATGCAAAGGCTTTATTTATTCTGTGTATCGCACCTCCTCACCAGGCATCACAGGAACAGCCTTGGGAACCTTGTCCCTCATGTTTTGTCCAGTGTCTAGTCCTCTTTGTTCAGAAATGGTAAATCTTTTTCTTAGGCCTTTTTAATCTCTTACACAAATGAGTGAGATCAATGCCATTGTCTTGCCATGAGTCACGGCTCCATTTCTCTAAATGCAACTTCCAGGATTAACGCCGGTTCTGCTGGAGCAGCAGATACGTCTGAGATAGCACTTTTTTTGAGTGTGGTGTTGCTTTCCTTCAGAAGTAAATTTGACCCATTTTGTGGTGGGGATCACTGGGCGTGCTTTAGTGGGGTGTTTTACGCACAGTATTTCTGTTTCAGACTTAAGGTTTTTGCAGTTTCATTCTAGAAACTGGTATGTGCCAATAAGATAACTGGGCAGGGCACAGTTCCTTGTGCATGTCCTGGCAAATCTCCGCTTTCAGTTCATGCGTGTGCTCAGAGCCCCTGATGAGGAGGAAGTATCTTGTTCAGTTCTACTTTTAAAGTCTTGTATCTACTGTTCAGGTCTCTGCTGCTCAGACAGGTGTCGTCTACTGACTGAAGAACTACTGTGGAGCTGATTTTCAAAGAAAGAGTGACCTTGGTCTCTTTGGTGATGGGTTTTTTGGGGGTTCAGTAGCGAGAGAAGGGAAGGAATACAGTTGTCTTCAAAAGCAAGTTCCTGTGAAGTGGCCACATGAGATCCAGGAGCCTGCATGGTGAAGTGACGCTCTGAATTGGTTGTTTCTCCTCCTAATCTTTGGATCTTAATGTAATTATGTGGGAAGCAGCTCTAACTTTAATCATGGGTCCTGCGTGAAGATTCACGCTCCTAAGGTTTTTGTTTATTTGGATTTGTACCTAGATGTTACTACTGTTTTGCAAAAAGGCAGAAGCCAAGTGGAAATGAATAGTCAAGTACTTCTCTGAATCTGGTCCTAAATCTGTTTTTGTACTCAAAGCATATAGGTATATAGGTATCTGAATGCATTTTGGTGTCATATTTGTTATTACAGTTTAGATTATTTGTCTAGCTACAGTAGCAAACACTCCTTGTAATGCACTTAGCTGGTTGTAAAATCAGGAACTCAGCAGGGGGAAAAAGAAAAACCTCCATAGTTCCTTCAGGCAATCAATTTATGCCTTGAAGCATGAGATTTGATTACCATTGCTATTATCTTAGCCTGCATAGCTACAAATGTTATTAGCAGTCATAAAATTATCCAGCCTTTAAAAAATGGTATTAAGGGGGAAAAAAAAATCAACAGTACTTGACTCTAGGTTCTCCAAAGACTAAATTCCTGGGATTGGTTCTAACTGTGAAAAATGGCACTTTTGTTTTAAATTTGCTGTTCTTTGACACATTTCTTCCTGTATTCTTATCATGAAGCAGTAAACTAGCATAGTTGTAGGTCTGCAACTTCTCTGCTGTGGTCAAGACTCATCTGGCTTAAAATAAGCATTGCTGATATATTTAAGCATGTACATGAATATATCTCAATTGGGAGTATTGCATCACTTTCTCTTAAAATCATTTATGATTTTCTCCTTTATAGGTAAAATCTTTCCTCATAAATTTATAGTTTCTAATGCATTTTTGTGCTTCTTGGTGTTGATTTTATAGTGCATAATTATTCTAAAAATTCCCAAACTAATGAAAATGCTCTTCAGTGTTGCACTAGAACATAATTTTACACACAAACTTTTTATTACAAAAAATATCAATTGCATTAGCCGTTTTAACAGGTGCAGTACCAGAAGTGATCTTTTTATAAACAATATCAAGTTGTGGTTCCTGAATATCAAGTATGCCTGCATTTTTCCTATCCACCTATTCAAAAAATTCCATAGTTTTCATTATTTAGCTGTGATACATGAATATGTATTAGCAAGTACAAGCAAAATTTTCTTTAAATAAGAACTGGCAAAATGTTCTTTTGTCTTAAGCATTTTGTGCATCTAAAATGGCATTTAAAGCAAAGTTGGAACTTTACCTCACATCAGATGATGAACCTCATCTTAAAATGATAGATGTTTCTTGAGGAAGAAAGTTTGGTGAATTGGGTGAGGTCAATAGCATCCTACATTGCCTTTGCTTGGCTTTCTTCAGAAAATTTCTGAGATCATTTTTGAGTTATTCTCACACTTAATTTGTAAGAATATTAGGCACTTAAAGTAGATTTTCAACATATAATCAGGCCATGACTGACTTAACAGCTTTCTGCACTATCTCTAGCACCATTCATCTCATTTTCATCAGCGGATAGTGTGGATGATGAAAAGGCTCCTTGATTTCTTCCACAGGAAATCCCGGAATAGAGAGGAACTCTGCAGAGTCATGCACATGAGTGAACTGGGCTTTTGTCTGTCCCTCCCTTCTGTGAAGACTTAACCTGTTACGACATTTGTTGTGTTTCCACGTCCAGGGAGATCTGAAGTGCAGTGTTATATGTCTGCTTACACTTAATCTTAGAAATAGGTGTGACTGGTGGTCTGTCTTATTAACATGAGCAGATTTTGTAACTGTAGAGTTATCTTTCATAAGCTCAAATATTTTGACTTTTCCATTACGGGCCTTCCTAAGGGAAGGAACACTTTTCGTGCAAAAACTTAAAATTCAGAACTTAAAACCAGGTAATAGGTTTTGTATTTTAGGCTAAAACTGGAAAAGATAAGAAGATCCTGTAGACAAAATGATGTTACCAGAGAGGACCCAAACATTGGGCCAAGCAGGCAGGCCAGTGCAGGGCTAGGGGGACGTGGGCCTGGGCAGGCCAGGCCTCCAGGGGTTTGTGCCGAGCAGTAGACAGGGCAGCCCCGGCCTGGCTCTGCAGGAAGCCAGAGGCCTCGTGCCACCCTTGGCGCTCCTGGCAGCGGCAGCGGTCATGGTGCCAAGTGCTCTCTGAGGCAGCCTCCAGCACCGGCCTTATCTCTGCTCCCAGCTGCTCGCTCTGGGCATGCTCGCATATTGCCAGCACTGCAGCGACTCTCCACTCATCTTGGGATTAGGATTTGCTATCTGATGGCCCTCAGTCTATGGGGTCAGGTGGATTTTTGCTTTATGAGCAGCCCTGATGCAGGGAGGACATTCCTTCACAGCCAGTTCCTTTCCTATTGTTTTCCGGAAGTTTCCCTGCCCATGAATTCTTGTTTGGTGGTGGGTTGCTCTGGAAAGCTGCATGCTGCAAACAGTGCTTTGCTGTCCCTGGATAAGCAGTCACCTCAGGATTTGGCTGTGAAAACTGGATCAAAATTCCTATTTCCTTATGTAGTGTGGGCCAGGCGTCAGCTGCCCGTAAATCCAGTTGCTCAACAGTTTAGGCCAGAACCACAGTACATTTTGCATAACATATTAGATACTGCTCTCCCTACATCTGCTGCCAGGTTAGGTCTGCCTAGGATAACAGGTTGTCCTACATGCAGTTCAATATGACAGTTGTATCTAGGAATTGCTTAATGTCACATGATTAAAATACCCACCATAATATTGCATTAACAGAGTTTTACCTTGAGTCTTTGTTAGTTTGTAGATTTTCTTTTACTACCCTTTCCAGTTTGAGAGCATCCTTACCTGTGTGTGCCATGCTATTTGCTCCCTGTCAAATGAGTAACCTCACCGAGCTGGAGCAGCAGGAGTTGCTAGTACATTAACAACTTGGTACTGCTTACTTTGGTAGAGTGGTTTTATGGCTTAAACCACCTGCACGTGTTTCTTTAGGGCTAAGTGTTCATTATGTTAGACCAAGCTCAGAGCAGAGAAACCAGCAGATTGTGGTAAGTCCCAGTCCTCAAGGAAATACTGGTGCCTCTGCACCCCTCCACGCAGCACCTGTGGTCGGGTGCTCAGGAGGGTGGGCAGCAGAGCTGCCATGTCCCCCATCGCTACAACCTCTAGCCCAGCAACAGAGAGGCTTCAGAGCGAAGCCCTCAGTGCCAGAACCCGCATGCCTGGCTGCTCTTTGGGGCAGATGCTGCCAAGCACATGCAGCAAAACCTGGGCTGGTGGCAGAGAAGAGTGAAGAGTTTTCCCAAAGGTCCAAATCACCGGCTGTGGGGCCGAGCCCAGGGCAGCCCCGGGCTGTGAGCAAGGGCGAGTGCAGTGAGCACAGCGAGGGGACTGTCCTGGGGAAGGGCTGCTGCCCTCTGAGAGGAGGGGACATGGAGGGGGGACCCTGAGAGGAGGGGACGGGGGGTGCACCAAGAGGGGCTGTTTCGCGGGGTGTCGGGTGCCGCTGTGGCGGGGCGCGGCAGGCGGGGGCGGCGCGGGCGGCGGGGGCTGCGGGATGTGCGGACTTGTTTCCATGGCTCCCTGCAAGCGCCATAGGGGCACACACTGATGCCAGGCACGCAGGGACCCGGACCCGTCCCCCTCCCGCGAGCGCGTGCCGGGCGCGGGTGGCCGTTGCTGCCGATTTTTTTTTTTTTCGCCTTTTCTTTCCTTTTTTTTTTTTTTTTTTTTTTTTTTTCCTTTCTGGGGTGGAGCGAGCCACTGGGGCTGCTGCACGGGGCTCCGGAACCGACGCTTCGCTTCCCCTGCCCCTTCTGCGAGCGAGCCCCGGCGCCAGGCTGCAAGGTAACCGGGAGTGGAGCCGGGAGTGGGGCGGCGGGCGCGGGGACTAAGCCTGCGGGGCCCTTTTTCCATCATTCCTTGCTTTATTTCCCATCCTTTTTCTCCTGCTCCGCACCTCGGCATCGCCCTGCAGAGAAGTGCGGCAGCGCAGCGGGATCAGAGGCGCCGGGCGGGGGCAGCGGCCGCCTCCTGCTCTGACCTGTCCCGTTCCCGCAGCCGCGAGCCCCGGGCTGGAGGGAGCCGGGGTTGAGGGGACCGACTGCAGCCACCACGGGGGCAGCCTTCCCTGCTGCCCGCGGCTCAGCCGGATCCAACTTTGTCAGCCCGGTGCCACAGACGAGCGTCTGTGGCCAAAACTGCCTTGTCCTCTGCTGGGTTGGAAGGTTTTATCTATTTCCCTGTCGCTCCACCTGGGTTTCTGTGAACACGCGAGGGGTGTGATGCCGTGATCCAGATACCTAAGAGAGACTCTGCACCTCCGTGTCGGGATAATTTATGAGCTCGGCTTGTACGATGTGGCTCTCAGTGGTCTCGGTTATCTTCAGGTTTTCAGAATGAAAGCAAATACTGCTTTCCAGGAGCTGTGGCATGCAGGAAACGGAATAGTCTTTTCAGATGTCAGTTTTATCATTAAGTGTTATTTGCCTCCTGTGTTTGGGTAGAAAGGAGCTAAGCTATGACATATTGGATAACATTGATGTGTTCAATCAAAACTCAGCAGATATAGAACAAACATATTTATGCTCAGCAATACTTCCTAGATATAGTTTTGTATGGAACAAGGTTTGGAAATTGTCACCAGTGAGTTGACAGGTGGTATTTTCTCTTCATTGTTGAGGGTTTATGTGATGTGACTAAGCTAAATATGTGTTAGGTGCCTCTTCCAGATATTGTTCCACAGCAAAAAATAGCGAGCACTAGGAGCTTAGGAACAGGTCTGGGGGAAGGAAACAGGAAAAAATGCCCCTCTGGATGAGCGTGTCTGCTCCGTCAGCAGCACCACCTCCGTGGAGCCGCTCCCGGGATCCCTTCTTCTTTCCCGTGAGCCTTTGCCCAGCTGTTGCTGATGCAGCCTTGGCCACTAATGTGCTAACTCTTCTCTGGTGCTTAAAAGTAGCGATTCTCCTTTGTCTTTTTCTTTTTTCCTCAATGTCTCTTTAATAAAATGGAAAATCTGTGTGTGCCAGGTTCAGTAGCCCTCGCTTAGGCCAAAGCTCTGTTGTCCATGGACTTTTGCTTATGTAAAAACTGTAAGACCAGATTATTTTATACAGAAATAAAGGCAAGGCATAGTAAATTTTCCAAGAGGTGCATTGGAATTCCCTCAGGGATATCACATGATGTAGGAAGCATCTTGGTCAAAAAAGCTGTGAACAGTCCAAGGCCTATAGGAGTTTTATTTTGCAAAAATAGCCTTGAAAGGACTTATTTTTTCTAAAATAATATACTTTGATACCAGTTTTTATCAAAATATGAGTAAACTGAATTCAGAAATGGATTTTGCCATAGGAAAGTGGGAAGCTCTTTATATATGCTTTTCATTGTGTTGAACTCGCTCGTAGTGTAAGTGAATGTAACTATTATACACATACAGTATATGTTACTTCAGTAATTAAACTTAATGAATGAAAATAGTAGTCCCCATGCTTAGTCCAAGAAGCCTAGCAGATAAGCCTTCTTTTAAATGAAAGATTATACCATTCACAGTGTTTGTTTTCCTCAAGTGGCTGGCTTATAAGGCATCTTGTTTGCCACTAAAAACATGAATTATCACTTACGTTTGGAGGGAAAAATCAAAAGGGCAGCTATAAATTATCTACAGTGGTGCTGGGACCGTTGTTTGCTGGATAAAGAAATAAGGAAGTCTCCTCCTTCATTTTCCCAGTGGGAGAGGACAGGGACTACTTTAAACAGTACTAATTACTTCAGTTTATCTTGCATGTGTTACAATGGTGGAGTTAGTTAATTATAGCTTTTCCCATTAGCAGTATGTTAAGAATAATGGATTAACATATTGCACAGATCAAAAGAACATCTACAAAGTTTATCTTCTAAGAAAGAGCGTTAGTGTGCTGCAGGAAGTCAGTGCAGTTTCCCGAGGCAGGGATCTGCAGGAATTCCTCAGCCTGGCGCTTCCAGCCTGATGAATGGCTTGAATTGATCCCAAACAAGTGTCACTGGCACTCCGGGTTGCTTAGCAACCTGCTAAGATGCCACAATTTCTTCTCGTATATTTGTCCAGTAAAGTAGAAATTCTTTTTTGTTGAAGATTTTTTTTTCTTTTGGCTAACACAAAGCCATCTTTTAGCAGACTCCAGATTCTGTCTGATGAAGGATGATGCATCAGTATTGAGTTGGGATAGCAGCATGGGTATGAAAATGAAAAGAAGGGATTGTTGCAAACCCTGCTTGTAAACCATATTCTGACGCCAGTGTGCGTCTGTTTGATAATGTTTCAATTGTCCTTTCTCAGTTAGACGTCTTTCTAAAAACAAAACAAGTTGGTGGGATGACGAAGCCAAAGACACTCATCTCCAGAGTGCTTTCTAAAAAGTTCCCCTCGTGCTGCCTCGAAGTGTGAGATGCTGCAGTGTCCTGGGGGAGTTGCATTCAGCTCCATTCTGCATAAGTGGAATATAATGTGCGACACGTGGTTCCGTCATGGCCTGAATTAGATCAGTCTGGCACATCCTATATTGGTGCGTGGTGGAGATTTCGACTAGGTTGCCCTCATGGAAACAGGCTTCTTAGCAGGCTTGTTTTGTGTGTTGTTGGTGTTTACTTGGGTAAGGAAATAACAGCACTCAAAGAAGCCGAAGAAATATAAACATTATTATGGGAAATATACATCCAAAAGATCAATATTCACTTTAATCAGCTTGTAGCAACCTGTGTGCATTTCATATGTGCTGACTGGTATTCTGAGTTCTTTCACAGACGGCTTGCACACCTCTTAAGGGATTCTCCCAGTCATCCCATCCCACTTGCTGACCTTCAGTACTCTCCTCCTTCTGGGGAAACTGTACAAACCACATTCAGAGAGGTCTAAGCCAAGGTGTGAGCTCCAGAGCGTGGTCTGCGCGCCTAAGCTGCCGATGGGCTTTTCATCCTCGGCCTTCTGACTGGAGCTCAAGCGAAGCGTTTGGGGTTCTCGGCACTGTTTTATTCCTTTCATGCACCACTATTGTGCTATGCTACTTGCTAATAAGGATATATTCTTTTTCCTTCTAAAACCGTAACAAAGTATTCTGGCACTAAGGGAACTGCAGGCTCTCGTGGCATTTATTTTACTTAGGTAATAGTTGGCATTCCAGGAGACGACTTCTTACCTCTTGGTGAGAAAAAGAAATCTAGATATTTTTCTTCTTTGAGGGGAATGGGTCAGTCTGAATCACAAAGAAGGAAAACATTTTAAGGGCCTGGTGTTAGCAAATAAGCATAAATATATTTTAATGTTGCGGGAAACAAATCTACCTGTTGATGGTGAAGAGGGTGAGAAAAATATTTTGGTTAGCTTTCTTTACTGAGAAAGCTGGCTGGTATTTTTTTGTAGTCTTTTTATTTGCAGCCATGGAAGAGATTCCATGCTCCCTAGACATCCATGGCGTTCTGGCAATATAAGGAATACATCCAAGGCATTGTCAAGGCCAGATGAGCTCAGTAGGGTAATAAATTATTACCTCTAAGAAGATTGAAGTATTCTAAGAGGAAGGAATATATGTTTTGTTGAGGAATTAGAATTAGTCTCAGTAGGTAGAAGTTTATTAGCGTAAGTTATGATGTTTAGCTCTTATTTAGAGTAAAAAAAAAAGTACTGCATTTCAGAAAACAAGATCCTTCGTGAATCTTTATAATATTTGATGTTTGTTGCTGGTGGTATTTGATTTTTGCCCCAAATTTAGCTATATATTGGCTTGTGGGTTTTATTTATTTATTTTCTGTGCAGTGAAGTCAATGCCCAAATCAAAGAATTTATTTCTTGATTACTACCCTCATATCTGCCTTCTGCACTGACTCCTGTTCCAGAGCCCAGCGATTGGCTCTGCAGTATGAACAGCTGAACTTACGGGCTGGTATTTGGCATCTCACATTTACCCTCTTGGCTTTTCCAGGTACCCCCCAGTAAAACACTCCATGTGGCCCTGTGGTTGCCTTTGTAATGTTTATTTTCTGAGGTTTATGCATTCCCTAGCAGTATGTTACCTTATCTTGTTATTAAATCCGAACCTATGAGAAAACATAACTCCACAGCTTGCAGATGTTCTTATCCTAGGAAAAGATTCGATCATTCAAAGTAATACTTGTATTTTGTTGTGACTGAACTAATGCTAGTATGAGTGTGAGCTCCTCATCCAAATATTCTTCCATGGAAGAAGGACCACATTTATGTTGCTTTCTCTGCTACTGTTTCTATGTGTTTGTAATGTTTTTTGGTCCTCCCTGGGCCTCTTCTTCCCCCCCGCCCTTTCCTCTTGCCCCAGTTTTTCTCAAATTTTTCAACAGGTTTTTGGGCTGTGCTGAGGAAGGACTTGCTGCTCTGCAGGTGTAGAGAGGGTGAAGGGACCGAGGGACAGGGACTCATCCTGCCTTCTGCTCCTGCCCTCATCTTGTGTAGGAGAAAGCAGTGCCTGGAGCCAGGCCAGAGCTGGGGAAAAGGAGCCAACAGTGAAGCTGGGTGCAGTAGTTGCTGTCAGAGGAGTGCAGCTTTCTAGGATAATTTTAACAGATGGTTCAGGATCTGGCTGTGAGTTCAATTGCTGGTCTGTCAGCCAGCCTCGGGTAGGAGTTTCCAGCAGGTAACCCACAAATAGCTGTTTCAGTTGCAGCAGGAGAGCAGAGCTTCTGCTCGTGCTCCCACTTCATCCGTGGGCTTTGCAGTGAAGCAGGTGGGGGAAGGTGAACTCTGGCCTGCGGTACTTCACTGGACCCTGGCCAGTTGTGCAGTGGCTGGTGCTTCTCTGCAGTCAGACACGCTGCAGTCTGTGGGCACTTGCTCCGTCCTG